CTAGAAGTTATATTGCTTCCCCCTCAACTAATGTTGTTAATGGGTCGTCGGGAGAAAATGGACGTAGATTAATAATTCACAATAGCTAAAAGTAAAAAAAGGTAAAAATAAATAAAAGTAAAATAAGTAAAAAAGTAAAAAAAGTAAAAATAAATAAAAAGTAAAATAAGTAAAAAGTAAAAAGTAAAAATAAGTAAAAAAAAAGTTACTTTGGCCAATAAAACCCTAATTTAATGTCTGTCCTTGGTGTCGAGACTAGGAAATAACATGCTACCAATTCTCACAATCTTACATCACGACCGTAAATTACATAAAAAATATAAATGAGAATTACTCAAGTAACATTGGTGTAACCATACCAGAATGACCTCAAGTAACATTATGGGTTAAATCATACCAAATGACCTCAAGTAACATTAATGTAAGAATACACCAGAATGACCTCAAGTAACATTAATGGGGTTGTCATACCAGAATGACCTCAGGTAACATTGGTGGGTTAAATCATACCAGAATGACCTCAAGTAACATTAATGTGGGTTAAATCATACCAGAATGACCTCAAGTAACATTAATAAGGAGTTAAATTACTAGAATGACCTCAAGTAACATTAATATGGGTTAAATCATACCAGAATGACCTCAAGCAACATTAATGTGGGTTAAATCATACCAGAATGACCTCAGTAACATTGGTGTGGGTTAAATCATACCAGAATGACCTCAAGCAAGTAACATTAATGGGTTAAATCATACCAGAATGACCTCAAGTAACATTAATGTGGGGTTAAACATACCAGAATGACCTCAAGTAACATTAATGTGGGTTAAATCATACCAGAATGCTTCAAGTAACATTGGTGTGTTAAATCATACCAGAATGACCTCAAGTAACATTGGTGGGTTAAATCATAAGAATGACCCAAGTAACATTAATGTGGGTTAAATCATACCAGAATGACCTCAGTAACATTAATGTGGGGTTGTCATACAGAATGACCTTATTGGTGTGGGTTAAATCATACCAGAATGACCTCAAGTAATATTAATAGAGTTTAAACATACTAGAATGACCTCAAGTAACATTAATATAACTAAATCACCAGAATGACCAAGTAACATTATGTGGGTTAAATATACCAGAATGACCTCAAGTAACATTAATGTGGGTTAACATACAGAATGACCGCAAGTAACATTGGTGTGTTAAATCATACCAGAATGACTCAAGTAACATTAATGTGGGTTAAATCATACCAATGACCTCAGAACATTAATGGGTTAAATCATACCAGAATGACCTCAAGTAACATTGGTGTGGGTTAAATCATACCAGAATGACCTCGTAACATTAATGTGGGTTAAATCATACCAGAATGACCTCAAGTAACATTAATGTGGCTAAATCATACCAGAATGACCTCAAGTAACATTATGAGTCAAATCATACCAGAATGACCTCAAGTAACATTAATGTGGGTTAAATCATAACAGAATGACCTCAAGTAAATATTAATGTTAAATTATACCAGAATGACCTCAAGTAACATTTATATGGGTTAAATCATACCAGAATGACCTCAAGTAACATTAATATGGGTTAAATCATACCAGAATGACCTCAAGTAACAATGTTGAGTTAATCATGATAAATACAACAGTTAACGGGACTTGAGACATACAAGTTAACTATAATTTAATAAATACTACATTCAATTATCATTCTATTTACGTATTCATGAAAAATCGGTGAGCGAGTGAGGCCACCAGCTGTTTAGAAGACCAGCTGGTTAAGAGGAGGAGGAGGAGACCATTTGTTTAGGAGAAGGAGAACACCAGCTGCCTGAGAGAAGGAGGAGACTATTTGCTTAGGAGAAGGAGAACACCAGCTGCCTAAGAGGAGGAGACCAGCTGCCTGAGAGGAGGAGACCAGCTGCCTGAGAGGAGGAAACCAGCTGCCTGAGAGAAGGAGGAGACTATTTGCTAAGGAGGAGAACACCAGCTGTCTGAGATATCACCAGCTGGCAGAGACCACCTGGTAATAGCCCCAACAATCGAACTATCTGAAGCAAAAACAACAACTAAATATAACAAAAACATAACAGGTAAACCACCAAAAACAAAGAAACAAACAATAACAAAAAGAACAACAACAACATTAACTACAGGTATATCTTAAAAAGTTTACAAATATCCTAAAACAAACAAACAAACAAACAAACAAACAAACAAACAACACAAAAAACAATAATAACCATAACAACAAATAAAACAATAACAAAAAAAAACAAGAATAGTAACATCAACTAAAGCATCTTAAACTCTGTGACCTTATCAGTACACACACACACACACACACACACACACACACACACACACACACACCACACACAACAAACCGTTAATTATTATTATTATTTTATTATTACACACAGTCGACAAAGAACATTATAATTAAACTGAACATTGAACTACGTGACTTGAACACTTATCAGCAGTAAGAGCATTTGTGTGTTTGTGTGCGTATATGTGTATGTCTGTCTATATGAAGAATGTGCTTATGTATGTATGTATTGTCAACGTTGTATACCTGGCCATGATGAAGGGGGGGGGGGGGGGGAGAGAGAGAGAGACTATATAAGTATATACAAAGACGGTGTGTGTGTGTGTGTGTTTGTGTGTGTGTGTGTGTGTGTCTACTGTAAACACGTGAATATGTGCGGCGTGTTTGTATAGGCCTACATGTGCACATAGATACATACATATGCGTCTGTGTACATATCCTTAAACAGTGGGCCGGCCATTCTTCAAGACACAAAGGCCTAAATGCATCTTAACCTAACCTAAGGACATGGAGACTGTATTTACCTTAGTCTCATTATACTAACTAGCACCTCACCTTCCCTCTCATCACTACCATTAGGCCTTTCCTCCTTCCCTCCCTTCCTCCTTTCCTTTTCCTTTCCTTCCCACATCAGCCCCCTCCCCCTCCGTCGGCAGTTAATTACCCAACTATGTCTCAGGTTTGTTTGTTGTGTACACGGACTGTCGTCTGTTGAGGGCTGGGTGAGTAACAGACCAGTGTTTGTGCTGGACATGTCTCTCTGTTGACTTATGCTCCCCCCCCTCCACCTCTCTTTCTTCTTTCCTTCTCCCTGTCCTCTTTTCTGTACTGAGAGAGAGAGAGAGAGAGAGAGAGAGAGAGAGAGAGAGAGAGAGAGAGAGAGAGAGAGAGATTTTGGTGCTCGATTTCCAGCTTATTCTACTCCTCCTCCTCCTCCCTCCTCCTCCTCCTCCTCCACCTCCTCTTCTGTCTTCTTTCTTCTCCTTGTCTCTTCTTTATTTCTCCTATCCTTCTTCCTCCACGTTTTTTATTTGCTTCCTTCTCTTTCCACAATTTATCTTTTTTTGGGGAGGTGGCCTAGAACCATGCGTCTATTCCCTTTCCCCACTTCATCTACCTATCTCTCTCTCACTCTCCTCCCTCCTCCCTTTTTCACTCTCCCTATCTCTTCTTTCCTCCCTCTATCTCAAACCTGTGTCTCTTTATTATATTTCTTCCTCCACGTCTTCTAATCTCTCTCGCTTTAATTTTCACACTTCTCTCACTTACCTCACTATTACCCTCTCTACCTACACTCACCTCACTTATTCAGTTGCTCTCAATCTTACAACTCTCCTCTCACTCTTAAACCCTCACTCCCACTCTTTAACTCCTCCCTCTCTCCCTCTCTCTCTCACCCTCTCCTCTTGCCCTTCTGTTTACCATTCATTATTCTTCCTTTTTCGTCCCTTTCTTCTTCTGTATCAAGGTTATTAATTACACTATGCGTATTTTTGTGAGTAACCTCCTCACCTCCTCACTAAGGTACTCCTATCTCCCCTCACCTCAGTACGGACAGACTCCCATCTCCCTCACCCCCCCACTCATGACTCATTCCCTCACCTCCCCAGCAACACAGCACTCTCCCCCACCCCCTCACTATGGACTCATCCCCCACCCCCAGAGGTACAGCATCCATCCCCTACCCCGTGGCCGTCCATCTCCCCACCCCTAGCTCACCTCCCCAGGATTTATCCTCACTCCCTCAGACGTACAGACTATCTCCTCACCTCACTACACTTATCTCCCTCACCTCCGTCAGCTCATCCACCTCCCACCAATCCTATCTCCTCACCTCCCCTAAGGACCCCATCTCCCCACCTCACAAGGCCCATCCCCCACCTCACTAAGGTACTCCTATCTCCCCACCCCCTCACTATACTCCTATCTCCCCCTCACCCCCTCAGTACGGCACAGCACTCCTATCTCCCCTCACCTCCCTCACTGGCACTCCTATCTCCCCTCACCTCCCCAGTAAAGTACTCCCATCTCACCTCCCCACTACACTATCTCCCCACCTCCCACTAAGATTCTATCCCTCACCCCCCACAGGACTTATCCCCCACCTCCCCACTAGGCATCCCCCCCTCCCCCCAGTAGGTACAGCATCTATCTCCTTCACCCCCACTAAGGATCCATCTCCCCCACCCCTCACTAAGGCACCATCTCCCCCCACCTCCCCAGTAGCACAGATTTATCTCCCTCACCTCCCCAAGGCAGTACCTATCTCCCCTCACCTCCCTCACTAAGGTACTCCCATTCCCCTCACCTCCCCAGTAAGGTACAGTACCCTATCTCCCTCACCTCCCTCACTGAAGCAAGGATACACCTCTCACTTTCCCTCGTCTCCCTCACTCCGTCAGTGAGACACCTCACCTTACTCACATGATTGGCCCAGTACACCTGACCAATAACCCAATTCCAGGTGAAAATGTGCCTATTACCTTAATGGTGTAATTGGCTGAGGGAGAAACTGTAAACGTTAAAACATTATATTTTATATCTGTTGAAAAATTATATATTGAAAAAATTGTTGGTCTTCTATAATTACATTTCGTGGTTAACATTTCTTCCTTAATTAAATTTCTTATATAATCGCATACCTTCAATAATTATATTTAAATAATAAAATTTCGTCAATAATTATAGAACAAATACAATTATCTACATTACTTAGACAATTCCATTTCTTCCTTAATTATATTCCTTGGTAATGACTGTATAAATAAATACCTTTCTTAATAATAATTACATTTATCGATATTCACATTTTTTAGATAAAAAAATGACAAAAAACAAAGACAATAAAAAACACACCAAAAATATACAAATAAAACAAGGAAACAGAAAATGCAACTGATAAAACAAAGACACAAAGAAAATACAAAATAAAACAAGGAGACACAGACACGTTGAAATGTTCCGGAATAAAAAATATAATGCAATAACAGAGAGAGAGAGAGAGAGAGAGAGAGAGAGAGAGAGAGAGAGAGACATTACATCCACTACAGTACACACGAAGAATAAAGGAATAAGACAAAAACACGGAATAAACAAAGGAAGGGGGAGAGAACCACAAACTAAACACAACAAAAAATGAATAAATAAATAAATGTAAACAAATATAAACAATAAATTAAAAATAACAAATAAATTTCTATATAAACAAGGAAATGAAATAATACAAATTAATAAGTAAAAACAAATAAACAAATAAATAAACATTTAGAAAAATAAAGAAACAAATAAAGTAAATAAATTATAAAAAAATAAATAATATAATAAAAAAAAACAACGAAATAAATAAAAACACTATCTGTCTGTGTCTCTTTGTGTGTCTGTCTGTGTGTCTGTTGTCTGTGTCTCTATGTCTGTCTGTGTGTCTGTCTGTGTGTTGTGTCTCTCTCTGTGTCTGTCTGTGTGTCTGTCTGTCTGTGTCTCTTATGTGTCTGTCTGTGTGTCTGTCTGTGTGTCTGTTTGTGTGTCTGTGTGTTTTTGTGTTTTCTGTGTGTTTGTCTGTGTCTGTCTGTCTGTGTCTCTATGGCGTGTGTGTCTGTCTGTGTGTCTGTCTTGTGTCTTCGTTCTCTGTGTTTCTGTCTGTGTGTCTGTCTGTCTGTGTCTCTATGTGTCTGTCTGTGTGTCTGTCTGTGTGTCTGTTTGTGTGTCTGTCTGTGTCTGTCTGTGTGTCTCTCTGTGTGTTTGTCTGTGTGTCTGTCTGTCTGTGTCTCTCTTGTGTCTGTGTGTCTGTCTGTCTGTGTGTCTCTATGTGTCTGTCTGTGTGTCTGTCTGTGTGCTGTCTTTGTGTGTTGTGTGTCTGTCTTGTTTTGTGTGTCTGTCTGTCTGTCTGTCTCTCAAAAGAATCACTTCTCACCTGCCATGAACCCACTACTAATCACTACCAGGTAATGCCACCATTACACCCAACACGACATAACATCCACGCAACAACAACAATATATTCACTTGTTACAAAAAACCCCACACATAATAATCAGCTTCTATTTCAAATTTGACAAACAAATTATTTCCGATCTCCTCTCAATGAATAAATAAAATTTTAAAAATAAATAAATGTTGGATAATTGTGTTTTTTCATTTGAATGCGGATTTGTGGTGTGTCGGGATTTTAATGTAAACGTGTAATGTTTAATTTATGTGTGTGTGTGTGGGGTGGAGGGGGGGGAGGTGAGGGGTGAGGGGAGGGAGGGGTGAGGGGAGGTGAGGGGTGGGGGGAGGAGGGAGGGGGAGGGGGGAGGGGGGTGGGGGAGGTGAGAGGGGAGGGGAGGTGAGGGGTGGGAGGTGAGGGGTGGGGGAGGTGAGGGTGGGGGAGATGAGGGGTGAGGGGAGGTGAGGGGTAGGGGAGGTGAGGGGTGGGGGAGGTGAGGGGTGAGGGGAGGAGGGTGGGGGAGGGAGGGTGAGGGGAGGTGAGGGGTGGGGGAGATGAGGGTGAGGGGTGTTTAGTGAATGTTTTTATTTGTTTTATGAAATTTAGGTTTATTTAGTCGGTTTTATTATTATTATTATTATTATTATTATTATTATTATTATTATTTATTACCATCAAGTCGGCTCTACCCTCTCGCCAGGATCGAACCAAAGGCCTCCAGTTGTGAACAAAGGAACAACCCACACTCCCCAGCGCACACCCCCACCACACACTCCTTTATTCCTAGTAATTTTGCGACTAATTGATCAAACACTCAAAAATAACAGGTAACGAGCAAAGCCTAATTAGGTCATGGCAGGTAATTTCGGACCCAAGTAAATAATTAACATCTAAAAATGGTGTAAGTTGTATGACTTTCCTAATGTGATGATTGTGTGTGTGTGTGTGTGTGTGTGTGTGTGTGTGTGTGTGTGTGTGTGTGTGTTACAGTATATAATAATAATACATAATAATAACTTATTCACACACACACACACACACAACACACACAACACACACACGCACACACACACACACACACACACTAAGAGAACCAGGTGTTACGTCGGTCTCTGAAGAAGGGGGAGGAGAGCAATATGCAAGGAAGGAGAATAAGAGAAAGAGGACGATAACGAACTGGGAGGAGAGAGAGAGAAAAAACCCACACACACACACACACACACACACACACACACATTACTCTCTCTCTCTCTCTCTCCACTCTCTCTAGCCCTGAGTAAAATAACCATCACCCACTAAGCTCTCTGGTATGGCCACTATGATAATCCAACTTAGATAATCCCTAGTGATATTAATGATAGCTCAAATGACAGCAACTTCATAAGGGACTTAGATCTGACCAGTTTACCAGAAAAACTCTATTAAATACTTCATACAAATCAACCAACTGTGTCTTTGTTGTCTATATCTACCTGAATATTCCTAGAAATTGTTGTTGTTATTAGTAAAACAGCGCTGACAAAATACACGTCCATCACAACATTAGTTTAGGATGAAAGTGAGAATGTCCGCATCTGGCCACCTCTTGTTATTGTTGGTAACGGAACCAAGACTCAAACTCCTCCACTGAAGAAACCCAAAGTGATAGACCTTGATCCTTGATGCAGATGGAGTCTTTGGTGGTCTCTGGTGATGTAGATGGAGTCTTTGGTGGTTCTCTGGTGATGTAGATGGAGTCTTTGGTGGTCTCTGGTGATGTAGATGGACTGGTGGTCTCTGGTGATGTAGATGGAGTCTTTGGTGGTCTGGTGATGTAGATGGAGTCTTTGGTGGTCTCTGGTGATGTAGATGGGTTTTGGTGTCTCTTCTGGTGATGTAGATGGAGCCTTTGGTGGTCTCTGGTGATGTAGATGGAGCCTTTGGTGGTCTCTGGTGATGTAGATGGAGTCTTTGGTGGTCTCTGGTGATGTAGAGTGGAAGCCTTGTTGGTCTCTGTGATGTAGATGGAGCCTTTGGTGGTCTCTGGTGATGTAGATGGAGTCTTTGGTGGTCCTGGTGATGTAGATGGAGTCTTTGGTGGTCTCTGGTACAAGGATTTCATCTCCAACATAAAGAATTCCAGTGTTGAAAGATTTGGTGTTTTTTTTTCCGAGTCTCAAGAGCGGCGACCCGGGGAAGTAAGATGCATCACAGGACAGTCTATTAGAACCAGTCTTTATTTAATTTATTCTTCAGAGGATTCGAATCGTCAAACCCCACAATATGTTGGTTACTGGCGGCTTCACTGTCCATCTCTGCCACTAACCAATAGAACTTATGGCACCAACGTTAAAGAACATTGTAAAAAAGACACCGCAAAAAAATTATCCCAACTATGTGATGATGATATTCACAACTGTACATTAACCTAACCCCACCCTGGATGTTCCCCCCAATGAGGTAGGAACACAAGACCTCACTGTATTATATAGCTGAGGAATGTTTTGAATGACAGGAACAAACAGAGTGAAAGATCGATGGAAGGACGAATCATCTACAGTTGTTAGTCATAGAGAGAAGATCATTAATGTGTTAGTAAGAAAAGATTCACAACTGATACAGAAATCCTAATGTACACAAACTCCCAAGGGTAGGATCCAAGTAAACATCCTCGGGGTCCCTTTCGATTAACTATCAGTCAGACAGTCATTACACGTGCGGGATAACGAGAGATCCTTCACGCCCACATATATACAGTGGTCAGTATCCATCAACATTGGCTTGTATCGTCATGTTTAACTTAATCTCTCTCTCTCTCTCTCTCTCTTTCACACACACACACACACACATACAGAAGAGAGGAAGAAGAAAAACAACAACAAGAGGAGGAGGAGGAGACGATCACTAGAAAAGAACAGAATGGGAAAATTGCCAAACCAGGAAAGAGAGAGAGAGAGAGAGAGAGAGAGGTGGAAACTGGAAAAGGGAAGAAGGGTGAGTGAAAGCCTGAAATCAGTTAGACGGGAGAGGAGTGAGTGAGGAGTGAGAGTGATAGGGATAATGTATGAATGGGAAGTGAGAGGGGAGAGGAAAGAAGCAGAAGACGGAGTGAGAGGGAATAACAGACTAGGATAATATATGTGTAAAAGTGAGAGAGGGGAGAGGGAGAAGGGTCGAGAGTGAGTGAGAATACGCGTAGAAGCACTAAGAGAGAGAGAGAGAGAGAGGAGAGAGCCCAGGAAATGAATCATATATTAAGGGTAGATAAAGCGTGTTATTGATTCCGTGTGTGTGTGTGTGTGTGTGTGTGTGTGTTCACTATACCTCCACCATCACTGTAAAACCAACACTATACACGTCACTGTACAGGACTCTCTCATCACCCGCCTCACTTAACATCATACGCATCAATAAGCTTTAAACAAATAATTCCATAAAGTAAAAGACTTAAAGCTGACAACAACAACAACAACAACAACAGTGGGTAACAATGGCTGTTATTGGCTGACAGTTGCTGGCAATTGTTGACTGTGGCTGCCAATGGCTGGTATTGCCTGACCGTGGCTGCTAATGGTTGACAGTGGTTAACAGTGGCTGATAATGGTTGATAGTAGCTGATAATAGCTGACAGGGGTTCACAATGGCTGACAGTGGCTATCAGTGACTACCAGTGGCTGACAACGGCTGACGAATAAACACTTATTTTGTATGCTGACATTACTTCGCCTCAGTTAACACTAATTCTTGATTATTTAAATTACTTCAACAAACACTCCAATAAATTCTACTCGCTTCATCAACCTTAGTATATTAATTTTTCCTTCACACGGTAATGGTCCAACAGATCATATTTACGTAATCCAAATGAACAAGTGTATTTATTTACCCTTCCCACCCTAATACTCCAACAACACTTTAAGTTATCAAGGGGAAGTGAGCTACGGTTCCTTAGATCGTATCATAGAGGAAAAAAACCCGAAGCGAGTCGTAACATTAAGGATTATCTACGATCTACCGTCAAGGGAGAGTGAGTCTTAGTATTAGTGGGTGGTAAGGTCGTGTGTGGCGTGTGTCATGGCCGCCGGAAGTGACGCGCGAATGTAAACAAAGGCGGAGGAGACCAGCTGATGCCACTGACTAGTTGTTGTGGTGGTGGAGAGAGTGTGTACACGTGTTCCTACACTCTGTGGTTACTTTGTCTACACTGTGGTCAGCTGGTCTAGCCTGTGGTCAGCTGGTCTAGCCTGTGGTCTGCTGGTCTAGCCTGTGGTCAGCTGGTTGCTGCTTGGTCAGCTGGTCTGCCCTGTGGCCAAAGCAGACCAGGTGGTTGACGTCAGCCGTACACGTCACTGATATAACATGACGTCACCCACAGCCGTACACGTCATTGATATAACATGACCCCACAGCCGTACACTCACTGATATAACATGACGTCACCCACAGCCGTACACGTCACTCACAGCAGTACACGTCACTGATATAACATGACGTCACCCACAGCCGTACACGTCACTGATATAACATGATGTCACCCACAGCCGTAGACGTCACTGATATAACATGACGTCACCCACAGCCGTACACGTCACTCACAGCCGTACACGTCACTGATATAACATGACGTCACCCACAGCCGTACACTCACTGATATAACATGACGTCACCCACAGCCGTACACGTCACTGATATAACATGACGTCACCCACAGCCGTACACTCACTGATATAACATGACGTCACCCACAGCCGTACACGTCACTGATATAACATGACGTCACCCACAGCCGTACACATTCACTGATATAACATGATGTCACCCACAGCCGTCCACATTCACTGATATAACATGATGTCACCCACAGCCGTACACGTCAACTATATAACATGACGTCAACCAAACTATAACACACCCTGACATCACATGACGTCAGGGTGTGTGTACGTGACTCTGTGGTTAGTGAGAAACCGCAAGAGATCTGATGATTAGTTCTCAGGCCTTGTAATTTATTTTACTTTTTTTTGTGGGGAGAGTAAGTATGTTTTAACAGTTGTGACTTGTTCTAGGGGTAAATTCAGCCAGAGGTTAATAATAGTTTGCTAACACACACACACACACACACAGACAGAGACAGACACACACACAGACGGCAGACACACATACCACACACACACACATAATAACTAAGCCCCACCACAGAAACACACAAACACACACACACACACGGACAACACAGACACACACACACACACACACACACACACACACACACAAGACGGCGCACACACACAGACGGCAGACACACACATACCACACACACACACATACTTCTGCCCACCCACAGAAACACACACACACACACACACACACACAACACACACACACCACACACACACACACACCCTCATCACACACCTACACCTTTCCCACACATACTCCCCACCACACACCCAACCCCCCCGCCCACACACATCTTCCTCCCACATACAAATTTGCCAAGTAACTGTTTTAAGATTTCCTCCTGTAGAGTCTCTTTGATTAAGTGCAAGAGGATAATATAAGTGGTTGGAGTCAGTAGCAAATATTAGAATATTAGGAGGTCTTAGCTATTCTTAATCACGTTAATAGTGGGCCAGGAATATTAGTGCAGGCAGTCTCTCAAGATCGTACGGTATATCTTGCTGCCTGCCTGCCTGTACACACACACACACACACACACACACACACACACACACACACACACGACCCCATCCCCCATTACCCCCTAACAAATAAGAACCCCTCCAACACATAGAACACCCCTCCAACACAGAACACCCCTCCAACACACAGAACCCTCCAACACATAGAGACACCCCCTCCAAACACCCCTCCAGAACACCCTCAACACACAGAACACCCCCTCCAACACAGAACACCCCTCCCACACACAGAACACCCCTCCAGCACACACAGAACACCCCTCCAACACACAGAACCCCTCAACACACAGAACACCTCCAACTTTAGAACACCCCTCACAACAGAACACCCCTCCAACACACCAGAACACCCCCTCCAAACACAGAACACCCCTCCAACTTAGACACCCCTCCAACACAAGAACACCCCTCCAACACACGAACCCTCCAACACATAGAACACCCTCCAACACACAGAACACCCCTCCAACACACAGAACACCCCTCCAACACACACAGAACACCCCTCCAACACACAGAACACCTCCAACACACACGAACACCCTCCAACACACAGAACACCCCACACACCCCAACACACAGAGACACCCCTCCAACACACAGAACACCCCTCCAACACACAGAACACCCTCCAACACACAAGAACACCCCTACACCAACACACAAGAACACCCTCCAACACACAGAACACCCTACACCCCAACACACACAGAACACCCTACACCCCAACTTACCCCCTCCAACACACAGAACACTCTCCCAACACACAGAACACCCCTCACCACACACAGAACACCCCTCCAACACACACAGAACACCCCTACACCCCCAACACACACAGACACCCTCCAACACACAGAACACCCCACACCCCAACACACACAGAACACCCCCACACCCCAACCACAGAACACCCCTACACCCCCAACACACACAGAACACCCCCTACACCCCAACACACAGAACACCCCTCAACACACACAGAACACCCCTCCCCAACACACACAGAACACCCCCACCCCACACACACAGAACACCCTCACCCCAACACACACAGAACACCCCTACACCCCAACACACAGAACACCCTCCAACACACAGAACACCCCTACACCCCACCAACACACAGAACACCCTACACCCCAACACACACACAGAACACCCCCTACACCCCAACACACAGAACACCCTACACCCCAACACACAGAGACCCTCCAACACACACAGACACACACCCCAACACACACAGAACACCCCTACACCCCAACACACAGAACACCCCTCCAACACACACAGACACCCCTACAGCTCCAACACACACAGAACACCCCACCCAACACACACAGAACACCCCCCAACACACACACAGAACCCCCACACCCAACACAGAACACCCCTACACCCCAACACACACAGAACACCCCTACAC